TTCACTGATGATTATTCACGGTATGGTTATGTTTACCTATTGAGGTACAAATCTGAAGTATTTGAAAAGTTCAAAGAATTCAGAAATGAAGTGGAGAAACAAATTGGTAGAAATATTAAAGTTCTTCGATCAGATCGAGGAGGTGAATATTTGACTAATGAGTTTCTTGATTATTTAAAAGATAATGGGATTGTCTCACAGTGGACGCCTCCTGGAACTCCACAACTCAATGGGGTTTCAGAAAGGAGGAATCGAACATTGTTGGACATGGTTCGATCGATGATGAGTACCACTGATCTACCTCTTTCATTCTGGGGCTATGCCTTAGAAACAGCAGCATATATTTTGAATAGAGTGCCAAGTAAAGCTGTACCCAGCACACCTTATGAGATATGGTGTGGTAAATCACCCTCATACAAATATTTACGAGTATGGGGTTGTACTGCTTATGTAAAGCAGTTAGTGGGAGGTAAGTTGGATATGAGATCCATCTTATGTAAATTTGTGGGGTATCCTAGAGAGTCTATTGGATACTATTTCTATGATCCCTCTGAACAAAAGGTGTTTGTTTCGAGGAATGCTGTATTCTTAGAGAAAGATTTTATCTCAAAGAATAGCGGAGTCATAGAACTTAATGAAGAACAACCACAAATTCCACTAAGTACCACGGAAAACATACCAGTAGAGACTGGACCATCTAAAACACAACCTCTTCGGAGATCCGAAAGGGTTTCTAGGGCGCCTGAAAGGCTATACCTATTGTCAAAAGACAATGAAGAGGGATTCCTTTTGGATAATGATCCAATAAGCTATGATGAGGCAATGTTGGACATTGACTCAGATAAATGGCAAGAAGCTATGCAATCCGAAATAGATTCCATGTATTCAAACAAAGTATGGACTTTGGTTGATCCACCACAGGGTATTGTACCCATAGGTTGTAAATGGGTTTACAAGCGAAAACGTGGTGTAGATGGAGAAGTAAATACTTTTAAAGCAAGACTGGTTGCTAAAGGTTATACTCAAAAACAAGGTGTTGATTATGAGGAAACTTTTTCACCAGTAGCAATGCTTAAATCTATTCGGATATTGCTAGCCATAGCTGCGTATTATGACTACGAGATATGGCAAATGGATGTGAAAACTGCTTTTCTTAATGGAAATATTAAGGAAGACATTTATATGAAACAACCGCAAGGTTTCATATCCAATGGGAGTGAACAAATGGTTTGTAAACTTCAAAGGTCTATTTATGGACTTAAACAAGCTTCGAGGAGTTGGAATATTCGGTTTGATGAAACGATCAAAACGTTTGATTTTCATAAGAATCCGGATGAACCATGTGTTTATAAGAAGGTTAGTGGGAGTGCAGTTACATTTGTTGTTCTATATGTTGATGACATCCTACTCATTGGGAATGATGTAGGGATGTTGCAGTCAACTAGGACATGGTTGTCAAAACAGTTTTCCATGAAAGACTTGGGAGAAGCATCCTTTATCCTAGGGATAAAAATCTATAGGGATAGATTTAAACGGATGATCGGACTATCCCAGTCGACGTACATAAATAAGGTGCTACAACGGTTTAGCATGGAAGAATCCAAACGAGGATATATTCCAATGAGTCATGGGATTTCTCTTTCTAAGACGATGTCTCCAAAGACACCTGAAGAAAGAGAACGGATGAGTCATATACCTTATGCATCAGCTATTGGTAGCATTATGTATGCAATGTTATGTACAAGACCTGATGTGGCTCATGCACTTAGTGTAACGAGCAGATATCAGTCTAATCCAGGTGAAGAACACTGGAAAGCCGTTAAGATGATTCTTAAGTACTTACGAAGGACTAAGGATATCTTTATGGTATACGGCAATGGAGAACTGAAACTAGAAGGCTTTACTGATTCTGGTTTTCAGTCCGATAAAGACGACTATAAATCCATGTCTGGATACTTATTTACTCTGAATGGAGCAGCAGTTAGTTGGAAAAGTTCCAAACAAGAAACAATTGCTGACTCTACGACAGAGGCTGAATATATTGCTGCATCTGATGCTGCAAAAGAAGCTGTTTGGATAAGGAACTTTATCCAAGGGTTGGGTGTAGTACCATCCGTTGTTGATCCAATAATGATTTATTGTGATAACAATGGGGCTATTGCGCAAGCAAAGGAGCCAAGATCTCATCAAAAATCCAAACACATTATGAGGCGATACCATTTGATTAGAGAAATCATTGGTAGAGGCGATGTCGTGATGGAGCGAGTCGACTCAGCAGAAAATATAGCAGACCCCTTAACTAAACCCTTATCACAGAAAGTGTTCGAAGGACATCTTGAGAAGATGGGTCTTAGATACATGAGTGATTGGAACTAGGGCAAGTGGGAGATTGTTAGAGTAGGGTACCCGGCGTTCCAATCTAATTGGACGTATTCTACTTGTAAATACAGTCTATTGGAATTATATTATGAATAAGGCATTTCTTTATCTTAAGAGAAAGCATTTATCTTATAATTGCACTTAAGATAAAATCCCTAGATCACTTATGGTTATAAGGTATGGTTGCGCATAGAGATGGTGATCATGGAACATACCTTGAAAGCCGTGATCTTAAATACAGTTCCAAGTCGATGGATGTTTCGAGATGGGATATCGAATAATCCATAAAAGACTTGCACATAGTTTGTATGCTTGTTGGACAAGAATGTTGCATTCCATCAACATTAGCGTAAGACGTAAGTACATTTATGTGGGTGCTTGTTAGAGAACAAGTTCACTGAACATGACCGTATGAAAATTCTTAATGAAGAATTTATTCAGTCGAATAAGAATTTTCATGTTACAATAGTACATGACTAATCCTAAGACTTGAGGCACAATGGTAACTTTGTGCATATTACATTCTACTTTGATTTATCCTTTTGGTAGCTAGCACTATCGTTTAAAGGGATAAGTTGGGTATTATGTTAATATGTATGGAAGTTTGTTAGTGGCCAATAAAGGATTCGACACTTATGAAGATAAGTGAATTTCCTATGTGTTTCATAGTTATTAATCCAAAGTCCTTGGCCAAGGCAGAGATGAATAGTGATTCATAACCGGGTTAATAAACATGAAATAGAATCATAGTTATTAAGTCAATTTGGGTTTCGACAAAATCATACCCAAGACTTAATCGGGAAATTAGATGTCGAAAGGATTTTACATGTATGGAGTTGTAATCGGAATAGGTTTACTCGCTATTCACTTAATACTAGATTCATGCTACTTGCTAGGTGTTACCATGATATGTGGGTTCATAAATTAAAGGGTTAATTCATGAATAAGAGTTAATAAGATTTAACTCAAATTACAAAGTGTTGTAAACCCACTACTAGTATTAAGGTGAACCTAAAAGGTCACACTAATTATGAACAAAGGTAAAGATTGTATTTCTAATGGTTAGAATTAATTGATAAATATCTAATTTGATTAGATATCAATTAAAGGAATATATTAATCAATAAGATTGATTAATTACATTTTGGATATTACTTTAGTAATTAAGGTAATTACTAAATTAATAAAGTTGAATTTTAAAATAGGATTTTAAATTTCAAAAATCCAAAATAATAATAATATGATTATTATAATATTGGGAAAATGATATAATAATAAAGTCTTGAGAAAGATTCTCAAGATTTATTATCCAATTATTATTTATATCTTTAAATATGATTTAAGGATTAAAATAATAAATATGATTATAATAAAATGGTTGTTGATGGTTGTTTGAACTACTTAACATATCTTATTATTTTCAAAGTCAAAAGTTAGTAAATACTATTTAAATAAAATTTGATTTTATTTAATATTACTAAATGTTGATTATTTTATGCTAAAATGTTTAGTATAAATATATGCAAAATGGTTTTGCATTTAAGTGAAGTTTTTGATCCTAAATTTCTAAGTGTTAGAAAGAGAAGAAAGTGTTCTTCATAAAACTTCAAGAAAGAGTTCTTAAAATTCCCAAATAAAATTCATAAATATTCCTATACAAGAAAACCGAGTCTTTTCTACTAGCGAAGGAAAGTCGTCGGAACCGGGCTTCATAGGGTGGATACGTTTAGAGGGAAGACACTTGGATTCCTCTAGCGAGTAACCTCAAGTCGTTGAAGTTACAACCGGGAACCGATTCCCTCATCCATCATCAATAGTGAAGGAGTTCAAGAAATTCGGTAAATATTTTTACTAGTATTTACTTTATAGTAACAAATCAAAATTTGTATATGATGCATGTTTTAAAGATGACGATCAGTTAATTCGCAATTAGTATGTACGGGTGTTGTATTTATACGATAAATACTTACTTTAAAAATTTTAAATTCCGCTGCGTACAGCCCGTACTGTACTATCGAACCCAACAGTTTGTGTTGGTGTTTATGTTATTTTTTGTGTTTTATGTTTGGGCCGTTGGCCTCAGTTAGCCCGGGTGTAATTTTATTATCCTGTTGGGACCGTACACTCGGGCATTACCCTGTTGGTGCCGTTCGTAGTTTTTTTCAGTGTTTCAGTTTCGTTGTGTTGTTTGAGTTTTTAGGTTACCCTGTTGGGGTCGGTTCTAGGCAGTCTTTAGGCTGTCCTCCCAGTTTTTCAGCTGTTGGCTGGTTGTATTCAGCCGTTGGCTGTATGTGTTCAGCTAGGGGTTGTAATTTCGCACATTTGTGCCTTTTATATATAGTATCTCTATCGTTTCNTCAACACACGCACATACACACACTCGCCTCACACACAGACACGCACTACATTCACGCCGCAGACACCACCTCCTCCGCCTGTCGCCGCCCATCGCCGACCGCCTAAACCGACGACCACCGTGCCGGCATAGATCTGGCCTTCTTCAAACACCATCCACGTCTTTATCCGCCATAGCTGGAGGTCCACCCTTTTACTGTGCTCTCGCCGGAATCAGCCAAGCCACCGCCCTCGGCAGCCTGTCACCACACAGACACCACGACACGATGGCGTACGCCGGAGATCTTCATTTGGTCACGGAGGTGTGGTGGCAGAGCTCGGTGGCCAGGGCCAATTGGTCGACAACATTACGGTCGACGGAGGAGATGACAATGGATTCGAGGGCGGGTAAACCAGCTCAGGTCCCACGGTGACGCTGGCTGCAACGCCGACAACGGTGCCCTGAAATTTTGATCGGGAGGTTGTGTTGATTTGGGGTTATTGTTTGAGAATTTGATTTATTTAGGGCCCTAGTTGCAAATATCTGAAAGTTTATTATATTTCAATTGAGTATATTAGGAAAATTGACAATTTAATACAAGTTTAATACATACACAATAATACATAAAAAATGCACTATACTATCATTTTTATATTTCAATAAAAAATCATAGCTTAATATTTTCATACAAACATATATATTTTTAATATAGTTAGATTTTTATTGTGATTATTTAAATAAAAAAAATGACATCGTATCGAAATAATTGATATATAAAAAAAATATAATAATAATAAAAACAAAATATAAGAGTTCGTACTGAAATTATGTTCGTTAGTCTCATTCGATTTTGTGCAATATGGTAGACAATTATGTGCAATTTGTATAATCATAATGTGCAATCGCAATACATACAAAAATATAGATAAAACATAGTATTAATTTTCATAAAAAATAAAATAAAATAAAAATCTAATATGTTTTCATATAATTCGGCATATGCAGTTATTTTATTTATTTAAAAATAATAAATCCGACAATTAACCAACTAATATTATTCGATCGATTAGCAAAATTAATGAATTTTTAGTACGTGCAGCGTGTCGTTTTATACGGTGCAACGTGTTGTGTTATAAGGTGCAATGCATTAATATATAAAGTGCAATGTGTTAATTTTAGTACGTTATCAATAAAAATATAGATAAAAAATAGTATTATTTTTCATAAAAAAAATTTGCTTAGATTTTTTTTCATATAATTCGGCATATTTGGTTATTTTATTTATTTAAAAATAATAAATCCGACAATTAGCCAATTAATATTATTCGATCGATTAGCAAAATTATTGAATTTTTAGTACGTGTAGCGTGTCGTTTTATGCGATACAACGTGTTGTGTTATAAGGTGCAATGTATTACTATATAAAGTGCAACGTATTAATTTTAGTACGTTAGCATGCTTCTGTGTTTTTATAAATAGACGATGTGATAATGTGCAATGATAGGTCGGAAAATGTGTGTGTTTTATATGTTCAATAGTGTATTTTTATACACTTAATTTATTCGCACGTTTATATTTTTTTGACTTATTAATTATTTGGATGAATTCATGTACTTTATTATTTTATTATCTATTTTCAGTAATTTGAAGAATATTCGAGAATGTCAATGGAGAAGACCCGTAATATTGGATAATCGGCTTAAGAAGAAATATTTGGGCCCAAAATAAATTAAATGCGGAAATATTCACGCCACGCAGCCGAGGGAGAATCTCTTGGGGGGACTTGAATTGTGGTAGCTACACGTAGCCAAAGTGAGAACTCACAATGAGAATTATTTGCTGGGAAAGTTTGTGAGTGGTTAAGAAAACTCCTAATTAGATTAGGATTCTGGAGAGAGTGGAATTATTTGGTAGAAAAAGGAAAAACACGCAAAAGCCGAAGGAGAGAGCCGCGCGAGAAAAGAAAAGAGACAGACTGCGAAAAAGCGAGAGACTGAGCCGAGAGGAAGAACACCACGCGGAGGGAAGCCGCACCCGCACACGAGGGAGAATTTTATTCTCTCTTTTATCTATTATTTTTATTTTTAGTAATATGTTAGACTAGTATTTTATCCAGTTTGAGGGGATGTTTGAACCCTAACTTTGATTTGTCTATGGATTGAAGGATTTATTTTTATCGTTGATTAATCGAGACGCCGTATTTATTTTTGTTGATGAGTTGATTCATGTTATCTGTGTATAAAGTTTATGAATTATGGTGTTTGATTTAGTCTGGCCAACTACGTTAAATATTCATAGTTTAATTGCTAGATTCGAGACTTTAATCCGTAATTGTTATTGTCTTGTTTCGTTAGTAGTAAACTAGGGGTCGTGCATCTCTAGGGTAGCGTGAACATAAGTTAAATGGTCCGAGCTTTTGCGTCCATTGCTTAGACTGATCTATTTTCCTCATAATTAATGCTGCTAGTGTATTAAATCTAGAGAGCTTATTCTAGGTTGTCCGCTAGTTAGATTTAGTCGAAGAGCTTATTTCGATTAAATATTCAGTAAGGGAAAATTCGGTTAACAGAGCTTGTTGTTAGCTAGGGTTGGTAATTCATTAGCATTATAGAGAAAGCGTCGAAATTAATTAACGGTAGATTTAGATTGGGTGATAACTGAACCAAAAACTGGACTTCTCTTATTTTATTTGATCTCTTATTTTATTTTATTATTTTTATTTTTATTTTTATAAAACCAATCCTCCCACCTTTATTGCTTTCGTAGGTTTAGTTCAATTAATACGAGAATCATCACAATTTAATTCCTGCTTCTCGTGGGATCGACCCTTACTCGCCGCTACTACTAGTTAGTAGAGGTTAGTCGAGGAAAAAAATTATAAATTTAAATTTGCCGCGTCGCGACGCTCGGTCATGCAACGTATTATTTTATAAACTGCGACATTTTGCTATATAAAGTGCACTAGCTAATTTATACTCTCCTAAATAAATTATGTGTATAATTGTACATTGCATTAACCTAAATAATTAAAATGACTTTTTATTTATTATTTTCATTATATAATTTATTTATAATTACAAAATATTTTTATATTATTTTAATATCTTATATTATTTTTATTTAACAAATTATTTATTATTTTATATATAAAAACATATAAACAAATAATTTATTTATTAACTTTCAATAATTATAGATTTGACACATTGGTTAAATTGAAATATACTTACAATTATTAAAATTGCAAATAGATCCCTATACATTATCTAATTCTCAAAAAACATGCCCAATCCTACAATCAATTTTTCAGATTTCATCTTGCCCTAACACCACCTCTCCAAATTCATCTTCATCCTCACCACCTCACCTGCCGTCGCCCAGCCCTCTCCGGTCGCGACTTCCGGCGTCCATGGGTGTTGTGTCTGGTGGAGACGGCCCTTCAGGTACGTTGGTGGCAGGAGGCGGTCGACGGTGGAGGAGCTCTCAGACGGGTTGGCGGCTGACGGAGTTCGACGTGGAGCCGCCGGAGATGCAGACGCCTTCGCCTGCGGCCGCCGGAGACGCAGAAGCCGTTATTCACGGCGCCTGCTTGCGGTGGTCGACGGTAAGCTAGAGAGAGCGGGCGGAGGGCGATGCGGCGGCGAACAGGCGGTGGCGACGACGGACAGACGGTGGCGACAGCGGACATACGGTGGCGACGGCGGACGGGAGGTGCGGACTGACGGTGGTTTTGCCATGACTCTGTGCGTTTGTGTGTGTTCTTCTATTTTTTTTTTGTGTGTGTGGGTGTGAGAGAGAGAAAGTGTGTGGGGTTGGGGTGGGGTATTTAGGTTTGACGGGTCAGTAAATGTGGTAGGTAGGTAGGGTTTGATTGGTGTTGATAAACGGATTTAATCAACGTTAACAATGTAAAATTAACACAAAAGATTGCAGAAAATGAGATTTTTATTGAATATCCTGAAGTCGGTTTCAGTACAAAGAGGTCGGTTTTTCAGTGTATTTCAAGTCGGTGTACAATGATATAGCCGAATTGAATATATGAGTGTGTATGATCTTTTTTCGAACCCCCCTCTCGTTTTCGGGACTGCTATTTATAGGTATGTCTGGCACACATCCCTAGACAAATCATTCCCGTTTTAATGAAGATTTGACATCTTAGGGGCGGCGATGACGTAGAAGAACTTTTTAGGCAATGATTAGCATGGGCGCGCCTCTATCTGTGTGACGAGTGTCACATCTGTCGGATCGAAGTCGGTTTGTCTTGCGATGTCGGTATTTTGATTGATCTTCAATATTCTACGACTTTTTAATAAATAGTTCTTTGACCGAATTGGCCTTTTTCAAGGTTCAGACGACTTGTGTTGATGACTTCCAAAGATTCCGCGGTATCATTTACGGGTACCGAGGTGAGGTTACCGAGATGCAATGTGTACTGCTTGACGTCGTCCAGAATACAGTTTATGAATTATACTTCACGATTTCTTTAATTCTGTCATAATATCAAGATATTCTATCTTGATATCAACAACATTTACAATAAATTAATATAGGTACATTGTATTATATATTGATTCCATGTTTTTAATTAAATAGTATGTAATGAAAGTTTTTAATTTATAAATATTAATGAATATCTCTTACTTGTGCATCGCACGGGATTCGTACTAGTATATATAATAAGAATTACATTTTTTTCAAAAATAGTAAGTCAAACCTGATCAAATTTCAGTCAACATTAATTACCTACTATTCTTAGTAAGCTTTTTTTATTCTTTTGTTTTTCAAAAAAAATCGGCATACGGATTTGTTGATGGCTTTCATTGAAAAACAATCATGCATGTCGTCGAGTAGATCCCTTTTGGTCTGTTTTCATAAGGAAAAAAATAATATAAAAATTGTAGAACAAATACAATGTAATCGAATGACTTTCGAATTTCAGTGTGAAAATTGCAAATCGAATACAAAAGGTTGAATCTTTGTATAAAATACAATCTAATACGTTTTTTTTTTTTTTTTTTTTTTTNAATCTGGGTATCAAAGTCGAGTTAAAATGAGAAATTTTTTAACAAAAATGCAATTTATGTCTGAAAAGTGAAGATCGCACACGAAACTTGCATTTTGTTGACAACTGAAAACAATCTAAACAAAAATCGTACAAAAATATGAAATCAAATAGTTATAATTCGTAAAAGAAAATAAAAATAAATAAAACCGAATAAAAACTATAAATATATTAACTAATTACAGAATTTCAGTGTGCTAATTTAAAATCAGAAATGATACTTGAGCTAGAAAACATAACTAAGTAAGAAAATCAAATTTTATGTCTTAAACTCGACAAGAATCGAAAATTTCGAAGATGGAACGTGAGAAAAGGAAAGAGTGAAGCGGTGCAAATGACAAGCTTAAACCTAGTGCCAACCAAATGCGATTTATAGGATCGATCTCACACGTACATTTCGGTTGACTTATTGTCAACAGTTCGGTCATTTTTTTTTTTTCTTAACTGAATTGCATTTGGGCTCTCTGTTTGTGGGCCGTTTGCAATAGAAAAATTGATTCATCAAATTGAACATATTTAATATAATTTATAGTAATACAACTAAAACAATTTGCTCAATGTATTTATATCGAAATTCAATAATTTATGGATAGTTCACTTTAATAAAAAGTAAATAATATTTTGTTCCGTACTTACCATTGGCACGCGATAAAATTAAAAAAATATATTGTATAATATTTTTCTTTCCATTAGTATTACTTGATAATTTTTTTTAATATAATTGTAGAGAATATAAACTCGTCATCCTATATATAAGTATGTGTTTAGTAATATATATATATATATATATATATATATATATATATATATATTATTTCCATTATATTTCGTAATGTATCGTTCTTTTATTATATAATCTTAATTTGAATACAACATTGTCTTTTAAAAAAGACAGAAATAATAAAGCTCCGTGCATCGCACGAGTACTGTATTAATTTTATTTTATTATGTAAGGTACTCTAAGTCCCAACAGGGTGTGACCGTGTGATGTAGAAACTTGTCATACACTGTTAAAAACAAGAAGAAAAGGCAAAGGTGTTCTGAATCTCCAATTCTTATAAATGTTTATTCGAATAAATACACACTTCCTACATATGATTATATATTAGTTATACAGAACTTGTCATCCGTGGGGAAATTTGTTTAAATAAATAAAAAATAAAAGCAGATGGTTGACCTCTATTATTGATAGTCATCGTAATACATGGCTGATGGCTCATCAAAACTTGGGTCAAACAAAAATACATGATGTTTTTCTTTTAATAATTAATCATTTGATAAATATCATTTCTGATTTATTTATATTTTCTCGTCACAAAAATAAAAAAGAAAGAAAAATTACAAACCCAGAAAAAATTATAAGGCATTGGCCAAACTCACAATTTGTCATAGTAAGAAAGACTTGGACATATTAAAAGGTATCACCGAGTTTGTGGCATTAGTTCTTGAAAAATGAAACATATGCATTGTGTAATGTATATGAAATTCAAATTTCTTAATTGACAGAACCATATATGTGATGTTCAATTGCATACTTTAGAATCAATTAAGCATTTCAGACAAAAGTGACACGTTTCCTTTTCTCTCCCCCAATTATTTGTTAATATCAATTTGTTCCAAGATATTGTATTGTACAATGTCAGTCATTTCATGCCCTTCTTCAACTTAAAAATAATTCATTTGGGATTTTTTTTTCGTAATGAAATGGATCAATAGGTCATTAGGTTTAATACTCAATGCATATAACAATTTCTTGTGTACATTGTTCAACCCATCATATTTTAACAAAAATGTATACTTATGAAAATATCATACATGTCCATTGGTAATTTTTCACACTATTTGCAAATTAGACTATAAAATTACTACATGTAATATAATAAAAAATTCGTACTTTCAAGTGAGGCCAACTATATGTCATGCAAGTTCGATCTATCGATGAAAACAAAAGAGAGCAGGTTTAAAGTAGCTCGACTAGAAGATTCCTAATAAATATTCCTCATCGGAATATTTTACAGTTGAATCACACAATTACATGTCCAGATTAATTTCCGAAATAATCCTATATTAGTACAACACACGTGTATCACACGGGTGCTTCTTAAAAAATTATTCTTAAATTTTAAAAATAATGAAAAAAAATTGTTTTAAGAATGACACTTCTTACTTGTGCGACTTACATGTGTTATATTACAGTAATTTTTATAACTTATATCATATAACTACTTGAAATATAAATATATTAATTGATAGATAATTTTATTTTTCTAATTAATATTAAAAATAATTTTATTACTGTTATAAAGATAAATATAATTTATTTTTTTATACATACAATATGAATGTTAAATCGAAGCTCACCAAGAGATGATTAATTTGATATATTATATATGTCAAATTGATAAAAAATACAAAAATTATTAACTTTTAAAATACACTAGTACAACACCCGTGTATTATATGGGCGCTTGTTGAAAAATTATTTTTAAATTTTAAAATTAATGAGAAAAATTATTTTAAAATTTATTTACTTTTTTACAAAAAATATACATTACTATATATTTTAGAATGACACTTGTTACCTGTGCGACTTACATGTGTTATCTTATAGTAATTTTTGTAACTTATATAATATAACTACTTAAAATAGAAATATATTAATTAATAAATAATTTTATTTTTCTAATTAATATTAAAAAATAATTTTATTATTTTTATAAATATAAATATAATTTATTTTCTTCTACATACAATATGGATGTTAAATCGAAGCTCATCAAGAGATGATTAATTTGATATATTATATATATAAAACTGGTAAAAATACAAAAGTTATTAACTTTTAAAATACATTTACAATATAATGGTTATAATAAGACATGATATTAAAATGCAATTAATATACATATAACATGACCATAAATAATCAACATATTTATGGATAATCCGGACCTAATTATTTTTGGATTGGAAGTAAATTAAAATCTACCCAAACCTAATAATGAAACATGTAATTTTGTCACATAGGATCCCGAAGCATACAAGCCTCCCATTTACGCTCCGCACGTTCTGAATTAATATATAGGGGGGATTTACAATTCAATTGTTATAATAAGAAATTATATTAAATGCAATTAATATATGTAACATGACCATAAATAATCAACATATTTATGGATAATCCGGACCTAACTAGTTTTGGATTGAAAGTAAATTAAAATCTACCTAAGCTTAGTAAAGAAGCATGTAATTTTGCCACATAGGATCCCGAAGCACGAGAGTCTGTCACTTAGGCTCAGCACATTTTGATTTAATATATAGGGGGATGTAGGGCTGCAAACGATCCGAGCCGAGTCGAGCATTGGCTTTGTCGAGTCGGATTAAATTTTTTTTTTTGCTGCTCGAGCTGGTCGAGCTCGATTTTTTAGGCTCGAGCTCGACTCGATAAAAAATTACAATAACTCGAGCTCGACTCGAAATCAAAATGCTCGAGTTCGGCTCAAAAAATTTAAGTGAAAAATGTAAAATACATTATAATATATACACATATATATATAGGGAGTGGTTCAAATAAAAACTAGTGCTGGTGTGAGAACCGTGAGAACCGTATTTGATGCTAGTTTTTATTGTGTATGATGCTATTTTTAATATCACATGGTGCTATCATTTTCATAAATGCTATTATAAATTGTGTTGCTATTTTTAAGAAAATAAATCAATGTTAAAAATAGCATTAAAACACAATAAATCATAGCACTACTTGCAACTATAAATAGCGGTTCTCACGGTTCTCACGCTAGAACTTGGTTCTCATTTGAACCACATCCTATATATATATATATATATGAGGTATTTTAGTAACTTCACATATATCTCGAGCCGCTCGACAATACAAAATATAAGCTCAAGTCGATTCGGTCAAACTCAAGCTCGAGTCGAGCTTTGACTTGTCCATTGACTAAAGTTGCTACATTCAAAGTATGTAAATAAAAGTTGGACTAAAAAAAAAAAGTTGAACTTTACAATTTTATTACATTATCCAGTAATTAGTTACAGACAACTTTCATATGAAATAATTTATTTATTTACACATAGATACATACCGCCACTGGACACACGAGATGCTTGTTTGATGTGTATCCATCTGTATACACCCACCAACTGTTTGTTCATATGACACGCACGCCCGCGCGTCTGCACACACAGTGTTCTTGAAATACGGCCAGCTTTTTTAGTGATCCGAAGTTTCTCTATTTTCCCATTGTCAATAGTTTGTTACTGGGCTTTTCGTTCTTTGCTTCTCAGCTGTTTGTTACTCCATTAAATCCGAAGTTTATCTTCCCATTGTCAATAGTTTGTTACTGGGCTTACCGTTCTTGCTGGTCAGCTGTCTGTTACTCCATTAAATTTCCACCTCAAGTAGCACCTGTGTTTATCCATCTTCAGTACCTCCTGTATATTATTAAAACTTACAAAAGTGAACCAGTGCAAACCTTCTGGGCTCGTCTGTTAGCTTCCAAGATTCAATTTTTTTGGTCCATTTGTTGTAATTGATCGACGATTCTAGCTTCAGGTGGATTGTACTAATTGTGTTTCTGGGGTTGTTGATCAATATTCTCTTTTTGGTTGATTTTCATCTTATTCTGATTCTCTCACGTAAGATTTTTTTTAAGGGCATAGATTTTTCGGTAGATCTACCTTTTTTTCCCCAAATGTGACGTAGTGCTCTACATTTTTAGCATTTTTTAGCATGCTATTTTTATATTGCAAAAATGGAGAGAGAGGATAAAGGCGTATTGATTGTTATCATTTATCAACCGTTTTTTTGTGTGTGTATATTTTTTGTATAGTTCACTTATTTTTCAGATGTCTTAAGCTTAGCTATTGCACACATGTTGTGGTTAGTGGTGTGAATTTGCTCAGATGGAAAATCTTTAGTTTTTAGTGAATAAAATATCATGGTCGATTCCCCAGTTCAATTCTTGGATTATGAGTAAATATTTAAAGGACCCATAAATCTTCTTGAGAGGCCTTGACGCGCTTCATTCATAGTGGTCAGCTGGTGGATTTTCTTGTGTTGAGTGGACAATTTTAGACGTTTAACCCAGCAAAACTTGAGAAAATTTGTAAATTTTGGTTCTTTAGCGACGGATTTAAATACGGAGACTAATAGTTGGCGCAATTCTCCCGTTGGCCTGGAGTGCATACTAAAAATAATCAGGGCCCTTAGAATGGGGTCCTGCTTTTCGAGCGAAAGCAGGAGCCCTCTGCCTAGTTCACCTGTGGGTGTTAGGAAGAAAAAGTGTTCGAAAAAGAGGGCTGCCTCTCGAAATGAGTATAGAAAGGAGGAACAGTTGCACAGGATTTCCAGAAGGATGTTCTTGAATGGTTCGAGCGAGATTGCTTCGCTTTTCTCTCAGCAAGGCAAGAAAGGGATCAATCAAGACGCCATGATTGTTTGGGAGGTTAGACCCCTCTTCTACTGTCTTTATTCTTGTATGACGATTTAATGCAATATCCAAGAAAGGGGAAAAACAAGAGAAAAACAGACATTGGAATGAGTTTACTTATAAGTACTCATGGACCTTTTTGCTTTCTGGACTGCTTTTGACCTTTCTGTAATGATAGTAATTACTTTACATATGCTTTGCTGTTATAAATTATTAAATTATTGTGGAATACCATGAGCAAGCCTTTGTGTGTATTTGAAGACTTTTGAACTTATGATTCTGTTATTTGGCACCATAGATGGTTTAGAGTTTCACTACTCTCACCGCTTGTTTTTTACAAGGTTTTGCATTATGTCTAGTTTCGTTTTCCTTCCTAGCCATCAGTTGGCTATTGTACAAAATTTCTTTGGAAAGAGTAACTTTTTTACTCTGGTTTACTGTATCCACAGGCAATTCTTTTGGCATAAAATAGTCCAACTAATATTTTAAATAATTGGATAATCTTTTTGTGGATTATGATTTCCAAATTATCTTAAGACTCAGATCCCAGCTTTCTCAAACAATTTCTATCCATGTTTTCATTGTTGATAACAAGAGACTGCATTAACCGACTTTGAGACACATTATAATGCAGAACTTTGGTATGAGAACAGACACTGTTTTCTGTGGGGTTTTTGATGGCCATGGCCCGTATGGTCATATGGTCGCAAAACGAGTTAGAGATTCTCTTCCTCTGAAGCTGAGGGCAAACTGGGAAGTAGATTTCAAAAGTGACGAGATTACGGTTTCTAGTTTAAGCACTGGGGGAAGTTTGTGCACAGATGATGTTTCTTTCGTGTCTGCCGATGAGGAAACTAGGGCTTCCATTGATGATGTTGACGAAAAGCAACTGGAGATCTTTGAGACGTTGAGAAATTCTTTTATGAAGGCCTTTAAGGTTATGGACAAAGAGTTGAGGATGCACGCAAATATTGACTGCTTTTGCAGTGGAACAACGGCAGTGACCTTGGTGAAACGGGTAAAAATGCTCTAAGCTACAATGATCCACGTAATTGTGAAAAGTTAACTATCTTTGAAATAACTAATGCCCTATTGATATTTGTTTCTAGCATACAAAATGCATACTTAGCAGGAGGTATTTGTGAAGAGTGTACAAGTCTCAAGGTTCCATCTAAAATTTTGAAAGATAACTGATTCATTCTGTAAAAAAAAAAAAAACTAAAGCTGAAGGGTTGTGTTGGTGAATGGTGATTCACACTTTAATTAAGCTATACTTGGCAAGGTCAACACTTGACTGATTATCTTATGCAGGGTAAGGATATTGTAATTGGAAATGTTGGCGACTCAAGGGCTGTATTGGGTACACGAGATAAAAATAATTTACTTACTGCTGTCCAATTGACTGTGGATCTTAAGCCTAACCTTCCAGGTCCTTCTCCTTTCCCTACTACTTTTTTGCGAGACGAGCAATTTAAATTGGCCAAAAACTGATCTAATAATTTATTTCTGTCAGATAATATCCTGTTATTTATTTCAACACCTTCACTTTCTGATATATATTACAGCGGAAGAAGAGAGGATCCGCAAGTGTAAAGGACGTGTTTTTGCCCTTAAAGACGAGCCTGACGTTGCAAGAGTGTGGCTGCCGAACAACAATTCCCCTGGCCTTGCCATGGCTCGTGCATTTGGTGACTTCTGTCTTAAGGACTTTGGCCTTATCTCTGTGCCTGAAATTTCATACAGACGCATCACAGATGAAGATGAGTTCATAGTATTGGCAACCGATGGGGTATGCCTGCCCGCTACTTATTTAGAAATAAATTTAGTAAGATTACCTAATAAAATATAATTTATACAGCTTTTTTATTTTTTTTAATTGTTAGTTTTATTCTATATCTGACAGATTTGGGATGTGTTGTCAAACGAGGAAGTGGTGAAAACCTTGGGATCTTGCCCCACTCGCTCATATGCCGCTCGAACGTTGGTAGAGTCAGCTGTCCGGGCTTGGAGGTTCAAATATCCAACTTCAAAAGTCGATGATTGTGCAGTTGTTTGCCTATTTCTCGACTCGAACGAGTCTGACTGCTTCACAACCAATTTCAAAGTGAATGTACCTTCACCGGCACAAAATGATGCTGCCAAGGATGACGATCTCCAGGGCCCGAATGGATTGAAACGCTCGGGAACTGTTAGAGCAGCCAATGAGGAAGAATTTTAAGAATGTGAACCATAAAATACTGGACTTGGCCAAGATATGGGTCGGAGTCTCTCGAGTCAATATACTGTTGACAATGCCAAGATTCAAGTGAATGCATAAAAGGTGTATAAATAAAGGGTATGAAATGAAACATGGATAAATATCTTGCTATTGGTTTATGTTTTCACTTTTTTTTTTTTTCTTTTTCTTTTCTGTTCTTTTTGGGTTTTCCTAAATCACATAAGTTCTCTTATTCATAAAATGGGAACAATTGATTTAGGGATGTTTTGTGTTTATTCTGGCTGGGGATGGACCAGAGAATTGGAATTTTTGCAGTATCCACCTCTGAGCTCTCCATATTTTCATCCTTCTCTTTTTTTGTGTTTTTTTTGCTTCGTTTTTCTTGACCCATCTATTGCTACTTCTGGGTTCTGTTGTAATTTTCACATTGACAGTAACTGTGGGATGTGGCTTTCTTTTGCTTCAAGATGTGTAAATTGTGTGTGGTCTTTTTTATGTGTCATTAATGCAATTGTGTGATACGGTACAATTGTAGCTTCTGAGGCCATCTCCAGCCCTTATCTCTATTCTAGCGCGGACTTTACTCTACTCTAGAGTAGAGTTGAACATTCATCTCCAGCCCTTATCTCTACATTTTACTCTACATTAAATATATTATTTTTTTATTCATTTTTTATTTCAAATAAATTGGTATATATGTATATTTTATCTTATATAAAATGGTAATTACTCAAATAATAAAAATATATTTAATTTATTTTTATTTCAAATAATTTGCTATATATATGAATATGTAATATTATATAAATGTTTATTACCCAAATAGTAATCAAAATTAGTGGAAATTTACACACTAGACCATATATGGTTTAGAGTATATATTCACATTTTAAAAATGATTGTAATAAATTGAATTTCTTAAAGAAGTTACATATACATCTATGTACCGATTGAATCAAAACTGTTACTTTTGAAAATATATGAATTAGTGCAAATTTACACACTAGACCATATATGGTTTAGACCATATATGTGGATAAGGAAATCTACAACTTAATTTTAATGAAATAAACTTGTTTGAATGTGTTAAATTTTTATTCATATGGTATCATTTTAATATTAAAAAATTGCCCTATAAAATTATAATACATCAATAAATAAAAAACACAAAATTATTTAGCATAAAAATATGTTGCACAAATTATTTAGCATAAAAAATACATTTACTAATACACATTATACAAAAATTTGCCAATAATAATACACACAAAAAACCAATAATAATACACACACAAAAAAATAAAATAAAAAAAAATTGTAGAGTTGAGCTACAGTGTTGCGCCAGATGTGGCGCAACACTGTTCCCAACTCCTTTCTGGCGCAGAAGTCTAGCGCAACAGTGGAGGAGATTTTCACACAACTCCAGCGCAAGAAGCCAAATCTGGCGCTGCGCTGGAGACGCGCTGATCATGCTTTATGCATTACTCGAAGCTAAAACAATATAATAAGCATATTCACTGGGTAGAGCTCTCCATTGCAGGCATCCCTGTCCTTATCTCATTCATTATAGTCTGAAACTTATATTTGTCACGGAGTGCGCTAATTGTAGTACGAACTAAAAATAAGAATTGTAAAATGCGGAAGCAAACAACCGAAGATTAATAAACTCTTCAGGGAAGCATCCCACTTCCCCTCAGAGCTCTTTCATTGATAGATCACTCATGAACATAGTTTGGACTTACAAAGACTTGAACTCCCTTCAAATCTAGCCAACACTACTCTCGATCCTATCAACTAATTTTCCGGCCACGTCCCGTGGACTTGTAAGACAACACTTACTCCCTAAGTGTACAAACGGTAAAAAAGTTTTGATGAATGAATAACAACTGAATAAAAAGCAGCTTCAGTCCTTGAGTGTGTAAGAACTCGTAGACTGAACTGAATACAACTTGAACTAAAAATAAACGGAAGCTTGAATTACACTTGGAAAATATCTCGCTCAAAACGTGTGCGCGCAGGAAGCTTCTTCTAGGGTATATATACAAACTCCTTTTAGGGTTGGAGTCTTCTACAAGGCATAGGACTTCAAATAAGATTTTCCTTCCAAAAGATAGCATATCTTTGGTAAGTGAATCTTCTATTCTCTCTCTTGATCTCCTCTCCAAGCATGTCTCTTTTCTCCCTCTTCTTTATCTCTCCACGCGCAATTTCCTATCATATTAAAAACCGTAATAAGATCTACACGAACTTATATAAGGAATATAAAACAATATTACTTAAGGAAATATAACATGTAAAGATCTTCCCTTTTATTCTGTGGTTCCAGGTGCTTGTTCGAACTAATCGAACTAATGCCAAAACAAAATATCATAGTCTTAACTAACAGACAAACTAATATGCTACTTCACATATTCGAAGTAAAAAAAATAGGGGTTAACACAATTTACCTCATTTGCATGTGTTCCCGATGATGTTGGATTACTAGACATGGAGATTAATGAAGAATAATGTAGAGATTGGTGAGTTAGTTTTTAATGAAGAGGAAGAAGGAAATTGATGAAGACATGGATTAAGGAATAACTGAAGAAGAAGGAGATTGGTGAAGGTAAAAAAAAAGTAATTTGGGTAAAAGTAGGTAAAACATTTATATAAGGACAAAATGTAATTTCAATTATTATTAAATTATTTTTTGAGGCAATAAGTAGTAATATGGGACAACAAATAGCAACATCCTTTTAGTTTTGCTAATTCTTGTTCGAAACTCAGTTTTCACCCATTATTTTCTGAATATCAAAGTGAGAGTAGTATTAGTATGTATTACCTGTTACGTTGGGTTGCCAAGTCCAAAGTCATTCCACAAAATTTTTATATAAATTGGAATTAATAAATGAAAGAGGTGCAACAAAAACAAATTCACAAATATCTCCTACGATTTGTTTTAGAGGGATGTTGCAAAAGCTGCATGCTCACCAGAAAGAACTGACGGAACAATCTTGCTTCTCTGAATAATTTCCTTCGTTTCTTTGACGATGATTGTTATACTTGATAAAAGAAAAGAAAAACTCCAACAAAAGGATAAAAGGTCCATAATATAATTTTCTGATAACTCATGCTAATCCCACGTGTAATGCACCAGTTTCATATAGTTAACAAAACAACAAAGAAAACGAAGATACATACTGCAATCAGATACACATAAAGCATACACAAGAAAGCAACTCCTCGAGGAAACCATGTGAAATGCACATCAAAGGACTTCTTATTGAGTTGCCACTACAGTAATCTTATTTCAAATCCAAAACAAAAGGCACAAAGCTAAGAAACAACTTTCGACTCTCACCGCAAATCCATTTGTAGTTTAGTTCTTACAGAAATCAACAGTACTGAATGATTGAAATCAAAACTGAAAGATAAACTAAAAGTACCGCAAATCTGCATTTCTCTAAGTTAATTTGTGAATAGTCTTCATGTCAGCTGCATCCTTGAGAGTCCCTTTCTCAACGTGGTTCCACCACTGGAACAAGAAGTTATCGACAACCAATCTGAACCACGGGGATAATTTCAGACCCCCCTCACCCGCATCAGCTTTTCTCAGTAGCTCTTTCAACTGATCTTGGTTCACATATTTCACGTCAGCTACTTCATCTGGATTAGGGTTCACGTTGACATCCCGCACAATGAAGAGGAGATAGTCAACTGCATATGACAAGTAACATCTCAGATCAATCATGTAAACGAAGTTCGATTTTTCATCGTCGTTCAAGCCCACGGCCCAACTATCTCTCAAAATTACGATTATTACCACCTCATCTCTTTAGTCACTTCAGTAAAAACAAAAAAAAAAAAGCAAGTAGTTTTGTAAATTAAACACTAAAGCCAAAGTATGTGGTGTTTACGTTCATGCTCTCCCCACTTGCCATCAGACGGTGCTTTGTAGAGCATACGTCCCAAAGGAGTGAACTGATCGACCGGAACATCTTCGGCAGGGATGCCGAGTTCATCCAACAGCTTCCGCTGAGCAGCATTTCTCACCCCTATAATTGAACATAATGAGTAAATGAAAAAAAAATAAAATTCAGAGTTCGAAATAAATGTGAATATGATGAACCAAAATACCGAGGGCATTCTCTTCAATGAGCTCAGAGTCTCTGTAGAGGGGATGGCTGCAGCAGGTGTTTGTCCACACCAATGGGAAGGTCACCTTAGTAGCAGATCGTTGCTACATGGAGAATAATAAATGGGACTATATTAATAATGTGTGCTTTCTGAAAAACAAGGCAGGAAAGCTGGAAACCGGAAAGTGTTGCCACTTTTTGCAGGATAGCAATTGCTTTATACATGTATTACATGATCCTTCAGCATTCCATATTTCAGGCACTTCCTTCTAAGATATTCTTTTATAGCATAAGACGTGTGGTTTCATATGGATATGATTTCAATAACTTCTGACTACACTAAAGGACTTTGCATAACGTTAATGTTACTAATTGTTCAGCATATCTTGCAACAGTGAACCAATAAAATATTTTCTCCAGTCCTACTTTAGAATGTCGTACATCAGTATAGTCGTACATAAACTTACATAATTTTCCTAGACATCCTGGAAAAATCACCTCATATATATTGTCACAAGACTCACAACACATGATTTATATCTATAGTCCGTATGAAAATCATGAAATACATGCAGGTACCTGAAGCAACAACTCATATTTTGAATTGAAGAGGAAGACACTGAAAGCTCTGTGCAACAGATTTTCAGAATTAATCTTTTCCATGAGATGGCCTGCACAAGTGAGGTTGTCGGGTCAAAAATCAGCAAGCAAGCAAGTTGATTAAACATATTAGCACTTAGAAGCATCACTACAAAGAAAAAAGAGAGTGTAAAATAGTAAGGAAAAGATAAGTCAGATCTGTAAAATCAAATCATAAGTTCCTCATTCTCACTATATACTTCTTTTTAATTCAAATCTCCCCACTGAAAATAGCAAATAATAAACCAAAGAAACAAATCAGTGATGGATCTTTAGATTTCTATCAGCTGGGATAGGTGATATATGAAAATGAGCCTCTCTTCTCCACATAAAGATATGTCACTCATCACTAGAGTTTAATAGACAACATTCAACAACTTACAGTTATACTTGGTATCATGGCCAACAACGCGATCATTCTCATCAACCAAGATGCATCTGCGGGGAGACAGCTAAAAAGCATAAGTACGTTATCATTTTCAGAAATGGAAACAAAAATTCCAGCAAATATTCTCCAGTTCCAAAAATATTTCCGCAATCAAAATCTGAGATCTCACTAACAACATAAAACATAAGAATGACCATAGAAATGCACAAATCCATTAAAAATCATTAAAAGGAAATTAGGTCGGAGGAGAGAAGGATACGAACTCGTCTTCGAACATGAGGCGCCTCTGGACAGCGTCCATGTTGGAATCGGCGGTGACGTCATCCATAGTGGAGGAGGAGTAGCAGTGGCGATGGGATAAGGGGAAGGATTTGTGTGTGGCGGAGGTTCGTAAAGAGGAATTTGAAGAAGAAATAGGAATATTATGAAGAAGAGCGGAGGTGGAAGAAGTAGAAATGGCTGCTTTCAACAACCGGATGCTATTTCTGGTCAAAAATCCCATCTTTGTCCCAATTTCTCTCTTTTCAGCCTAATATTTTACTTTAATTTTCTCATCATCGTTCACACGCTCTGCATAGCACGTGTTTCTTTTTCTTTTTCTTTTTCTACTTTCTTTTTTCTTTATTTTTTTTTAAAATAAAAAGGGTAAATAATTTTTTGCATCCTGTATTATACGCGTTTTTGGCATTTGCAACCTAAAGTTTTTTTTTTCATTAGTTGCAACCTGTAATACACGTCTTGTCTGTATCGCAACCTAACGGCCATCGGAGTCCATATTCCACCGGAAAAGCGAGCATGTGACTCGCACGCTCAAAACTTGAGGGTAAAATTGGCAATTGAAGTCTGTGTCTGTTCGGTATCCCACAGAGTAAATATATGCAGATTAATTTTCACAGTTTAACACAAACCCCCAATTCAAAACTAAGAAAACAAGGGTTCTTCTTCTGCAATTTTCAATCTCGACATCCAATCTCAAACTTTCCTTTGATTTAAACATAAAAATTGTGAATCAAACTTGATCGCGATATTGATGGGCTGGAAGGTACGCGGCGACAATGAGAATATTCCACCTGGAAGACTGGCCCCGATTACGGTTTGTTTTCGAACCCTAACTTTTTTTTTTTGTTTTTTCTTGTCGAATTTGACGCAATCTTTTTTATATTGGTAGTATGTTTGTGATTATGCCTTCTCACTTCGCATGTGGAGACAAACTTTTTGAACTTGCCGACAGTCCATGGATAAAAAAATGGAAATGTGAATTTTGTCGGAAATGTGGTCCATGGATATATTAGTTTAGTATTTTATTCATTTTTTTTTAATCTGATATTGATTTGTGTAATATTCTTGTCCTTCAGGTCCCAGTTCACAATTGTTTACCATTTCATTTCATTATGGTGGGCAATTTTTGGAACTTGGTGAGACTTGTTACACTGGTGAGCACATGAGGGTAAGGCACATTGACTATTGTGACCCTGATGAACTCTCATTGATTAAAATATTCTGTATGGCTTTTGAAATTGGGGTAAAAGATGTTAAGTGTGTGCATTGTAGTAGAAATGGTGTAAATGATTGTCGGTATGTGTTTGTCTTGCAAAATGACATGGATGCTATAAATGTTGTTAATTGGGTTGATAGTAATAGAATGGTCAGTTTATATATTGAACATATGGAGGGCACAGGGATATCTACTGAACCTTCTGATGATTTGCCTTCTGTTGATTTGCCTTCTGTTGATGAACCCTTGCCTTTTGTGGGGGATGATGGGGATGATTTAGATGATATGATTGACAATTGGGGGGAAAAGAATGTTGATGATATGGGTGATGATTTGGAAGTCCAATCTGATAGTGACCCTGATAGTGATTTTGAAGTACAATCTTTTGGTTCAGACTCTGAGTTTTCTGATGAACTTGTTGAAAGTGATTGTGATCTATATGATGAAGATGATAGGTTATTTGAGTGTCATGTAGATGCTGATATTGAATGGGGAGGGGTAAATAGAGATGAAACTCATGGCCCTGAATATGTAGGTAGCCAGAGTAAGCAGAAAAAAAAAAATGGGCCATCCAACTTTTGATCATAAAAAAGACATGAAAAATCCTCAATTTGAATTGGGCATGACATTTCTTGACTTGGCCATGTTTAGAAAGGCAGTTAGGAACTTTGCAATTGCACAGGGTAGGGATGTGTGTTTTACCATTAATATGAGCTATAAGGTGCAAGCAAGATGGAAAAATAAGTCATGCCCTTGGGTCATTTATGCATCCAAACTTCAAAATGAAGACACTGTGCAGGTGAAGACTTACAATGGTAGGCATAAGTGTCCTAGAAACCAAAAGGTAAGTCATGCTAACCCAAAATGGATAGCTGAAAATTACAAGCACAAGATATTAGATAATCCTAAGTGGCATGTAGAGGCAATGATGGCAGAAATGTAGAGGGAAGTAGGGGTAGTCTTCAAAAGATGGCACATGTACCAAGCTAAAAAGTATGTGTCTAAGATTGGTGTGGGATCTGACAGTGAGAAATATGCCATGCTTTGGTCTTATGCTGAAGAGATTAAAAAAACCAACCCTGGGACCACTGTGGTGATTAAAAGTAAACTTGTTGATGGAGTTCCACTGTTTAAATGAATCTACATTTGTTGGGGTTCATTGAAAATAGGGTTGCTGAATGGTTGTAGAAAGGTGATTTGCTTAGATGGTTGTCATCTTAAATCATCTTGTGGTGGTGTTCTACTCACTGCAGTTGGTGTTGATGCAAACAACTGTATGTATCCTTTTGCCTATGCTGTTGTTGAAAAAGAAACTAAAAAAACTTGGCATTGGTTTGTTGATTTGTTGAAAGGAGATTTGGGGATTGAGAATTCTTTTTTGTGGACAATAATGTCAGACAAGCAAAAAGGGCTGGTAGATGCAATTGAAAATCTAATGCTAGATTCTGAGCATAGGTTCTGTGTCCAACACTTGTATGGAAATTTTAGGGATTCATTTAGGGGATTAGCCCTGAAAAACTTGTTGTGGAGAGTAGCCCGGTCCACAAGGGTTGTTGACTTTCATGCTGCAATGAAAGAACTGCAAGGGAGGGACAAAGAAGCTTTTGAATGGTTGGCTAAGAAACCAGCAAATCAGTGGTCAAGGTCACACTATAGTTGCAACTCCAAGTGTGATATGCAGTTGAATAACATGAGTGAATCTTTCAACTCACTAATCCTGAGAGCAAGGAGTAAACCTATTATTTCTATGTTGGAAACAATAAGACTTATCCTGATGAAGAGGACCTACATGAGAAGGGATCAAATGAGAAAACATTTGCATGGGAACTTGTGCCCAAAAATCATGAAGCTGTTGGAGGAATTGAAGAAAAAGTCAATGGGTTATATTTGCCACTGGAATGGGGAAGAACAGTTTGAAGTATAGGAGAGCTCAAGTAGATTTAGAGTTCATATGGGGGAGCTTACCTGCACTTGTAGGAAGTGGGACCTCACAGGTATCCCCTGTGAGCATGCAATAAGTGGCATGTTCTTATTGGGCACTCAACCTGAGGGTTATGTTGCTGACTGGTATCACAAAGATAAGTTATTGAAAGCTTATTATGAGATGATGGGCACTCTTCAACCTCCTGAGTGCTGGCCAAGTGTAGAAGCAATGCCACTGAACCCACCATTTGTTGGGAGACTGCCTGAAAGGCCAAAAGGCAATGCCAGAAAAAAGCAGCCACATGAAGTGGTGCAGACTGGAAAATCCGAAAAACAAGTTCAAGTGAAGCTGAGTAGAAAAGGGAGACTTGTGAAGTGTTCTCTTTGCAACAAAGACAGCCACAACATTAGATGTTGTCCATTAAGAACTGACAAGAGTGCAGCAACTGAGGTAGTTGTTAAATAATTGTAAATTTTTTGTTTCTATGTTTGTGTTTTATACAAATAGTAATTTCTGTAAATGTTGACTTGGATAGGTATATTTACCATTGTTTTTGTTATGAAGGGTAACAAAAGGAAAGAAATTTTGAAAGAAAGTGAATTCAGTGCCCCTAATGAGGACATCTCTGTGGTCAAGGTAATGTCACAAGTAGTTACACATGTCTGTGGTTTATGTCTTATTACAGTTAGTGTTATTGTATATGTATATATATTTGTTGCATAGTCACATGTATATTGTTGTTTTCTATGAAGGGGAAAAAGAGGAAAGCACATGGGAGAGAAACTGAAGTAAATGCCCTTGCTGAAGATTTTGCAGAGAGAGAAGTACATGTCCCTAATGAAGAGATTGTTGTGTCCAAGGTAATGTTTTTTATGAATATTTGAGAAGGCATGTTGGTGTGATTTTTGTGCTGTCCAATTTGTGCTTAGATGCAGCAGTACTTGGGTTAATATAAATGTTGAGTTTAAGGTTGAGTTTCAGTGCATTAGTGTTTAGTATTTCATTGAAGTGTCTGTTTTTTTTTTTTTCCTTATTCATTTAATGGATAGTTACATTGTACATTGTTTGTTAGAAGGGAAAGAAGTTGAAAACACATGTGAAGGAAACTGAAGTTCTTCATACACAGGAATCAGTGGCAACAATACCTTCAAGGGTCACCAGAAGTCATGGGTATTCCCATGAACTTGTTCATGAATCTGTACCGAAAAAATCCACAAAAAGCCAAACCCAACCTGCATGTACAAGACTCACAAGAAGCCAAGCACAGCCTGCATCTTCACTAAGAAGCCAAAGCCAGCCTGCATCTACAAGACTCACAAGAAGCCAAGCACAACCTGCATCTTCACCTACAATGAAAAAAAGAGTGAGTCTGCAGGGCCTTCAGTTACAACTTCACCTAAAATGAGAAAACAGAGTCAGTCTGCAGGGCCTTCAGTTGTAACTTCACCTACAAGGGTGACAAGAAGCCAAGTTCAATCTGCAGCTACACCTACAAGGTCAACAAGAAGCCACTCCAAAGGTCTCACACCTACAAAGGATTTGGGGCAAAAAAGCAAGACATTGGGCTTGAGGAGAAAACTTGAGGTACTGTATTCTATTTTTTTATTGTGTGTTATTTTCACTGTCTGTTTCAATATTTTAATGATCTTACTATCCATTTAATAGGTGACCAAGAAAAAAAATCCATTGACTCAAGGTGCTAGCTTTACAACAACAAAGGGACCAGTGGTGAAGAAGCATGTGGTACAATCTCAGCCTGAGCCAGAGATCTTGGGAACATATTGGGTTACAACTAGTGGGGACATAGTGAATCAGTAGGGGTCAGTTCTGAGAGAGATTGGAAACTAAAAACAATTTCATGTGGATGTGGTTGATGTTTTGTCACAATGGATGTGGTTGGTGTGTTTGTTGAACTCAGATACAATGCTTATGTCTTCTGGATATTATGATTTGTTTTGGATATTATGGTTACTTTTTTGAATGGTTTGTTTTGTAATTGTTTTGTAAGCATTCACAATCATTCATAATGTTTGGCTTTTAATTGTGTTCAATGGATACAAGTTTGTTTGAATGGGTTGGTTTCACTGCCATTTATGTGTGTATGCTTGTGAT